AAATTTAATAGAAAATTACTGTATAAATGCCCCTTCCTCCCCTCCCCCCCAGATTGCACATTTACACACACTCTGCATACACTAACACAACACACACACACTACATACACTAACACAACACACACACTACATACGCTAACACAACACACACACTGCATACACTAACACAACACACACACACACACTGCATACACTAACACAACACACGCACTGCATACACTAACACAACACACACACACTGCATACACTAACACAACACACACTGCATACACTAACACAACATACACAGACTGCATACTCTAACACAACACACACTCTGCATACACTAACACAACACACACACTGCATACGCTAACAACACACTGCATACACTAACACAACACACACACGGCATACACTAAACTATGCACACACTCTGCATTCACTATACTGACACACACTCTGCATTTACTATACTGACACACACTCTGCATTCACTACACTAACATACACTCTGTATTAACTGTACACCAGTGGTGTATCTTGGTTTTGTGCTGCCCTAGGCAGGACAAAACTCAGGCGCCCCCCTCTCCCCGCGCCACCCCCACCCAACCCTTCCCCCCCGCCCCACCTTCTAAATACACACACACACACACACAGTCAGACACATATACACACACACACACAGTCAGACACAAACACACACACACAGTCAGACACAGTCAGACACAAACACACACATACACAGTCAGACACAAACACACACACACAGTCAGACACAAACACACACACACACACAGTCAGACACACACACACACTCAAACACACAAACACACACACACACAGTCAGACACACACACACACACACACACACACAGTCAGACACAGTGACACAAACACAATCGAACACATACCCAGACACACAGTCAGACACAAACACACACAGTCAGACACATACACAGACACAAACACAGTCAGACACATACACAGACACAAACACAGTCAGACACAAACACACACACATTAACTTTTTTTTAATTTAAATCCCCCCCCAACCTCCTTACCTTTGGGAGTGCTGTGGGGGGGGGGTCTCTCTCCCTGGTGGTCCGGTGGTCGTGGTCCAGTGGCTGCAGGGCGGGCGGGCGGCGCTGGCAGGCGGGCGGCTGGCGAGGGAGCACTTCCTACGAGCTGTCTGCTCAGCTCCCTCGCGCGCCGGCTGCAGAGTGAGGCTGGGAGCCGGAAGATGACGTCATATTCCGGCTCCCAGCCTCACTCTGCGGCGCGCGAGGGAGCTGAGCAGACAGCTCGTAGGAAGTGCTCCCTCGCCAGCCGCCCGCCTGCCAGTGTCGCCCGCCCGCTTGGGATGTCAGTTAGCCGCAAGGCTAACTAGGCATTTGCCCTGGGCATTTGGGGGGCGGCGTTTTTTGCCGCCCCCTGAAAAATGCCGCCCAAGGCAAATGCCTTGTTTGCCTCGCGGCTAATACGCCTCTGCTGTACACACAGCATCCACTACACAAACATCCTGTATTAACAGTACACACACTACATCCACCACAAATTGAAATACTCTGCATTCACTATACACAGACACTACATCTAATACACACACTACATCCACTACAGACACTGCATCCACTAAACACATTTTATCTAGTACACACAAACACTACATCCACTACACAAACACACACTACATCACTGTACACACACTACATCCACTACTCAAACACACTCTGCGTTCACTATACACACTGCATCCGCTACACAAACACACACTCTGCATTCACTGCACAAACAGTATCTAATACACACAAACACTACATCCATTACACACATTCTAATTCACTTCTACTATACACACCACATTCAGTCCTGCATCATTGTCAGTGGACTAGGTAGGGCGTGGGCGGGCCCGGGGGGAGGGAAGGAGAGGGAGAGGGGGGAGGGAGGGCCCAGACCTTGTGCTTTGTCAGGGGCCCCAAAATTTCTGATGGTGGCCCTGACTGGCAGTATTGACTAGTGCATAGAAACACACAACAGGAAAATCTAAGCAGCACATTTTTCAACCACACTGTATTCCATTTATCTTGTGATTTTTTTCCAATCCCATCCCCATACAATTTCAGTCATGATCATTGACCACAAGATGAGAACTATTAGCACAATTATTTCTAACATAAATTACACACAATTACCATTACTTTTATATTCATATTTTAACCAATGTTTAACCATTATTTAAATAAATTACTTACAAAGGTTTATTGTTCTCTAGTTACAGTATGCTTTAATATTAAGACATTTTAAGCATACTTTATATTCACTTAAAAAAAAGAAAACACCTCAGCCTAGCATTCATTTGTTTTGAATACGATAATAGATCTTTATTTCCCAAAGTCTGATTGTAGGAAAAAAATTAAATCAGAAAACAATTATTTGATGACATCATGGTTATTAAAATAGCCAGGGAGAAAGAGTAAGTTAAAATTAGGTTAAAATATGCATATAGAAATACTAAATGGATATACCATCATGTAAACTCAGCCTCTGTTATACCCCCAATGGAGCTGTCTGTGCCCTGTGCCTCTCGCTACTCCTTGAAACCCTGTGAAGGTCAAGCACGTTGATGTTACGTCGGAATGTGACATGGAGTTGCGTGCCTCTGTGCACCTCTAGGTCCTCCACTGTCTAGCCGTGGCCATCACAACACTGACCAACACACACACTGACAGACACACACACTGACAGACAGACACACACACTGACAGACAGACCCACAAACACAGTTACACATTCTTGCACATTTTTACTAATCATTTTATTTATTGCTCCCTATCTTTGGGAGCTGGTGTGGGGCCTCTCCCTGGGGTCCAGTGAATATCTCCCTTCCTGCTCCTCACTGCTGCCTCACGCCGGAATTATATCAAATTCCAGCACCCGGCATTACTACAGACGGCGCATGTGAGGGAGCAGTAAGGACAGACTGAGCTCCCTCGCTGCCGGCAGCGTCCTTTCCCCCCGGCCGGGTAAATTTTAGCAGAGTCGGCTCCTACAATGTCGGGAGAGCAGGTGCCTACTCTGCCTTAGCAGTAAGGATGTCAAAGTTGCGGCTCGCTGGGCCTCAAAGATATTCATTGTGGGTCGCATTCGGCCCGCATGACACAAGTTTGACATACTTGATGTAAGTTGTGTTGATGATGGGGCCTCATCCATTATTAAATATGACATCATCACTTCTCAGCACTGTATATTCACTGTATATTTACTTTGTTTAATAATACTTCATGAGCAGCATTGTTTTACTAAAGGATCATATATTGTTATTATTGGTATTTACATAGCGCCAACTAATTCTGCAGTGCTTTACAATATTATCAAAGGGGGGGGGGTAATTTACAATACATGAAACAATTACACGGTGACAAAGGAATAATATGTAGATGAGGACCCTGCTCAAACGAGCTTACAGTCTAGATGAGGTGGAGTACAAATACACAACAGGGCAGCAAGGGTGACAGCCACCAAACAAGGTGGAAAAGTAGCATAACTGGAGGTGAGAGTGGAGTATGGCTCTTTAGGAGAGCAAGACTTGGGTAAGTATAGATAAGTTACCCTGGGAGTCCATAAGCATTTCTGAGCTGTTGCAATGCTGTATGGGGCCCAGACACAAACAAAACAGATGTTTAACTAAACAAGAGTTAAGGATGGAGGGTGCAATAGTCATCAATTAAGCAGTAATACTGTAGGGGATGGAGATAGATAGGAATACAATTAATAGAGAAATATGTGTGCAAGCAGTAGAATGTTTTTTAAAATCTTCTTCTTTATATCCACCAGATCAGATTCAATTTATTTTAGAGGCAATCACTCTTATTTTGGAGAATAATTATTTCTGGTTTCAGGGCGATTTCTACCTCCAAGTGTGCGGTACAGCCATGGGCACCAAGTCGCCCTCAGCTACGCCAGCCTCTTCGTGACCCATTTGGAGTATGTCCATGTTGAGGCGGGCGGTAGCTGGGGGTCGAACTTGGTGCTGTAAAAAAGATATATAGATGACCTTATCATGTTTTGGAAAAGTGAAGCTGAATCTCTGTAAAGTTTTATAAACACACTTAATTCTAACAAGAGGGGAATACGTTTAACCTCAGAATTTAGCAATAAGGAGATTAATTTCTTGGATCTTAAAATATACATAGAGAATAAACGAATAAAAACTAAAACATATTTCAAACCAGTGCACGTAAACAGTTATATCCAAAACATTAGCTGTCATTTTAGTCCCTGGTTAAACAATGTACCCAGTAGCCAATTAATTAGAATGAAGAAAAACTGCACTGATGAAAGCACTTTTGTAGAACAGAGTCAAAAAATAATTGAGGATTTTAGGGAAAGAGGCTATAAAGAGGGTTTTTTGAAAGAAGCAAAAGAGAAAGTAGAGAAGTTAGAAAGAACTGAAATTTTAAAATATAAAGAAAAAAGGAATGCAGGTGCTACATCTAATGTCCCATTTATATGTCAGTATTCAGGGGGACACAACCATGAAGTACAGAACATTATAAAAAAATATTGGCCAATACTTATGGATGACCCTATCCTGAATGGCATTTTAAGCGATATACCTATGATTGTACATAAAGCAGTCTCCAATCTCAGAAGAATTTTAGTGAATAATGTTTTTGATGAACCTAAACGAAGGGGTAATTATTTTTTAAGTCAGCAGGAAGTTTTTTTTAGATGTGGATATTGCAGTGCGTGTAGTAAAACAGAAAACAAAAAACAGCATATAAAAGAATTTACTGTAAATAATACTTTATATGGGATAAAAGAAGGAATAACGTGTAGTTCTAAAAACTTTATATATTTGCTCACCTGTACGTGTGGACTGCATTATATAGAACGCACAACTAGTGATGTCCCGAACAGTTCGCCGAACGGTTCGCCACGGACGGCGAACATATGCGCTGTTTGGTGCGCCCCCTATGTCATCATTGAGTAAACTTTGACCCTGTACCTCACAGTCAGCAGACACATTCCAGCCAATCAGCAGCAGACTCTCCCTCCCAGACCCTCCCACCTCCTGGATAGCATCCATTTTACATTAATTGTGAAGCTGCATTCTTAGTGAGCTGTCCAGTAGGTGGGAGGGTCTGGGAGGGAGGGTCTGCTGCTGATTGGCTGGAATGTGTCTGCTGACTGTGAGGTACAGGGTCAAAGTTTACTCAATGATGACGAATAGGGGGCGGACCGAACAGCGCATATGTTCGCCATCCGTGGCGAACTGTTGGGCGAACCGTTCGGGACATCACTATGCACAACGAGACCTGTACAAGTACGTATATGTGAACATATATATAATATTAAGAGGCAATATGCACTGCATCAGGTCTCAACACATTTTAAACAGCATCATGGAGCAGATCCCTCGAAATTAAGTTTCATAGGGATCCAACAGATTCAAAAGGAATGGAGAGGTGGAGATTTTAATGTAAAGATAGGGCAGGACGAAATGCAGTGGATCTTTGAGTTGAATACTATGATCCCACACAGCTACTCTGCATTTGAAGCTATTCCATAAATCATTATAATGGGTAGATCATATTGACTGTTTACAAATCAGGCTTACTAAGCGAACGCCGACTGATTAATTGTTGTCAGTTTAAAACCATCTGCACTATCATTGCATTTTTTATGTTTTTTCTCTTACATATTTCAACCATTTATTGGAAGAATCATCTTATACCCAATGAGTTTGTATACAATTTTTTAATATAACTGTTCTAATATTGTGTTTAACTTTGCTCCACTCACTATTACACATAATAGAGAAATAGGGAAAAATAACTAGTCCAGGTATTCTCAAGTAGATCATCCAGAAATGCTCAAAATGGAGAAATAAAGTAAACAGAGTGCAGGTCAGGAGTCCGTATACAAGTCAAGGGCTCATGGGCTGCACCACTGTAACCACCTAATAGGGAGCTCCAATGACGGAATAACCCTCCAAAATATGTAGGAAATAGGAGTAGGTGATGTATAGGGTCCCACAAGGGGAAACTAACATCAGGAGAGCTCCACTGTATAAGAAATGAGGAAGGGGGGCCCTATCTTTAATCAATATAAGGATAAAAAGGGATAAGCAAGCAAAAAGTATAACTTGAAAAAAATAAGTTATACTTTTTGTTTGCATATCCCTTTTTATCCTGCAGTTCCTGTTCCTGCAGGGTTGGGTGCCGTAAGTTATGGGGGTAGCTAATGCAATGCTGTATGGGGCACAGGCTCTGTGTAGGGCAGTCCCTGCAGGGTTTGCTACTGTGAGTTCTGGGGGTAGCTGTTGCAATGCGGTATGGGGCCCAGGCTTGCTTAGGTCAGTCCCTGCAGGGTTTGGTGCTATCAGTTCTGGGAGTAGCTAATGCAATGCTGTATAGGGCCCAGGCTCTGCTTAGTTTTCAGCAGTGAGTCATAACATCACTGAATTACACACTCATATAAATACCCCGATCATCAGTGCAAAGTGTCGTTCACCTGTTTTATAATTGAATACACCTACCAACTGCCTCTATGCTCAGCCGACATCAAGAAAAAAAACCATGGTGTGTGTGTAGAGGATGTAGTGTGTGCATAGAATGTAGTGTAAGTGACAATAGTGGCCATGGAACATTTCCTTTTATTGTCAACATTTGTTCCTGTATATTCATATTTTGTCTACTGCCTCCCAGAGACACAGAAAGTGACATTCCTTTATCTCCAGCCTTTAGTCAAAATATGTTTTCTTGTTTCACATGCTTGTTTGACAGTCACATTTAGTGCTTTGAGTATATATAAACTTATTTTTTCCTTTGGTTGTTCTCTACGCTTCTCGAAACAAAAATGCAAAAATGTTGTAAATATTTTAAATGAAAAAATGCCATATGCCTGGCTCCTCTACCACTACCTACTAGTCTTGGCTGCCGGTACACATAACGACAATGGGCAGACTGTGACCTCCGATAAGTGACACATATCCAAGCAACACAAGACAAAAGAAGGATATGCAGAGTAAGCCATAGGACAGCTCAGTTGGCACTGCTAGAGGGCTCCTCCCCTGGTTCCCCTGGAAAACCCAAGCTCTCTGACAGCCTCCACTATATAGGAGCAATATGGAAGCAGACAGTGTTCTGTTCTCTTATAGGCACCATATTTAAACACATAATAGCTGAGCTATCTTTGCTTGATTGTTCTGTGCTGTTTCAATGAACACTTGGCTACCCATTGGTTATTTACCTGGATAGTTTGTCTCACTGCTCTTGAACATTGTTGCCTGGATTTCTGACCTTTGAACTGTCTTGACATTGCATTTGCCTCAACTTTCTGGATTGTTTGCCCTGGACTTTATTACGTTTTTATTTTTACCTTAGCGAGTGCTGCATTTTGAGTTTCAGCCTACAATTCCTGACAGATACATTGTTTTAATACCAATTTCCGTTAATTTTACCACATGACAGGAGGCTTCATATTTGCATATCTTTCTTTACTGAAAACTCCAGCAGCATAGAAACATAACAACCAATCAGAAAAAAGTTATGATGCCCATAAAAGGCCCTGTCTATGACATCACTTCCTCTTTCTTTGCCGCTCCAGCCAACATCAGGTCAGAGTATTTTGCCTCCCTGGCATTTGCTTACATATATTGTTTTTTCTCTGTATTTTGGATTGTATTGTTCTATTATTTACCTAAGTTAATTTATTTATGTAGCTAATTTATTTATTTCATTTATTTATTTCATTTAATTAATTGATTTATTTATTTAGTTTTTACTTTCACTGTTCCCTTCTCCCTGTCCCTGCAGTTTCTTTTTGGGCCCCTATTACTTTTCACTGCCGGTACCCGCGAGCAACGGCTGTCAGTGCCGCGCGCCGCGGGCCGGCTAACGATTTCCTTTTGTGGGGCCGGCAAGGGGACGGGTGGAGGGGGACTGGGAACTGCGTTCCCTCGTCGTTCCGGCGCCGCGCGGTCGATCGCGTCGCTCCTTCACACGCGGGCGGCGGCCATCTTGGATCTCGCGGCTCGCGAGATACTGGACGGCCGCCTTCCCTGCTTGCCCGGCGGATCGGCAACTCACCCGACCGCCGGGCTCCACATCTGTATACCCTCCCTAGTATGTACTAAGGGAGGGTATTAGGTTACAGTGGATTTTTTGCCTTTCAATATATATATTTGCCCAGTGCCTGCCTGCTGTGCTGCCTATCTATTATAAATGCATGCATTAAAGAGACAAGCATTCCCCCTTTTTTGCCAGCTTCAGACCTTTATGTCTCTATGCCCTGCTTAGGGTCATATCAGCTACTATACTCCAATTAGGGTTATACTATACATGGTTATAATCTCCTCAGGATCAGACGGCATACTGGCAAAAAATGATATACAATTATTATTTTTTATTCTCATGAGCAGGCACACAATCTATGTATTATTGTGAAGCCATACAATATCACAGTCGTTATACAAAACATATACTGTACCTATAACAAGATCAACTATATCACTGTACCCTACGAAGGGCATATTGTGTTACTGTACCCTACAAAGGGCATATTATATTATATTATTGTACCCTCCAGAGGGTCATACTATATTACTGTACCTGACGGTGCAAATTTATGTGGGTGTCCTCTGGGTATTTTTTCATGGCACACCACCTGGGGTGAACCCCGATCATATGCATGGAGGCCTACGCCTCAACTTTACCACTGATTACTACAGACATATATGGATGTTTTATCCCTTAACTATGGATGTTTAACTTTTGGAATAAAAGGGAATCATGACATGTCACACATCTCATGTGTCTCTAAGGGGTTAAACACTACCTGTCAGTTTTACATTAAAGCAACAGTACCATGCCGGATGCGATTTGACGGCAGGATCACTAAGAAAATTGAGTGTATTGCGGTGTACCCTTCACAGGGATACATATATGTATATTTACTGTGCCTAGTGTACATATGGAACGTTGGTGTCCTCTGGGTAATTTTTCATGGCACACCACCTGGGATGACTCCCAGATATGCATGCAATGCTTGTAAGGGCCAATAAGTATAATATGGGTGTCCTCTGGGTTACCATGGCACACCACCTGGGATGAACCCAGCCTAATAGACATAGGTCCTGCGGCTGCAGACCTTATGGAGACAGGCCCCATGCGCCTATATAATAAGCCTGTATAGTTAAAAACCGTGCATACAGCTCTGGCGTACATTTGTGGTGAACCCGGCTAGCCAGACCGACACCACTACCAGTCAGTCGCGCCTGCACCACGGCTCTCAGTAGCCAGATTAAACTAATAGAGGTGACCCCTCTTTTTACCTGGGTGATCCCCAGTTCTGCCAGGAGTCTACCACCCCCACGTGCTGACCCTCACACTATCCCCCAACAGGACGGGAACGAGTCATGGTGGACACTCTCAACGTTCCCAAGATTTCTAGACAATGATAAACGCCACAGTAACGGCCTCAGTGGAGAAGGTTCTGTTATGAACTCTACCCCACACCGCTTGATGGAGGGCTCAGGCCCACAAGCCTCCAAGTCAAAACGGCAAGGGAAGGGCTCCAGCCCCCCTGCCACTAAGGTCTTGGGCAAGATGCCCATCGAACAGACCAAATAGGCGGAGCACCGGGAATCCACACCCCGTCCGCCACAATCTTCCGACAAAGAAGACTATTACCCACCACGTACTTTTGGACATGGTAGATGAGCGACACGAAGACAGCTCACCGTCTGAGGAAATGGAACGGCAAGACCTTCCCCACACTTACTCGAAGTACGTTAGAGAAACCTTACTCCGTGACGGCGGCTGAGGCAGAGATAACTGTTGCGGCACTAAACCAGAATAGCCGAAGACGGAACGTTCCTGGACGAACACTATTGGCTGCGCAACCCTCGGGGGATGGAAGGATGCGCACGCCTCAAGACCGAGTTACCCCAGGGTACACAACTCAACCCTACCACCTCCAAAGAATGGTCTCAATGCTCGATATGCCTCCCGGGCAACGTAAATGACGCACTATGCGCCGACAGACGCAAATCTGTACTGGGCCGCATCGACAACACACTATTGGACCTAGGAACGACAAGAATTCGGCCCAAAAGCACAAGGCCTACTATTCGACGTAGTGTTCATTGCAGTACTCAAAACACGTGAATTTATTCACCACACTAAACACAGACCTCGCTAAAACAAGTCTTCTACAACCCTACGGGGAAAGGTGTTTCTGGGAGGACTGGTCGGTAGCTGATCCGAGCCACCAGCCGCTTCTGGGCGACAGGTTCCAGATCGTATACACAGTCCTCATATTTCTCCCATCTACTACACAAAGGAACCCATCCGCTTCATCTACTAGTGTGTCAACCTACATAACTACCTGCTTCCAATATTATGACCGGCAACCTGTCTCTGTTTTACAGAATTGGGAGACGACTACCAAAGTCACCTGGGTTCTCCAGACAGTACAAGGTTATGTCATAGAGTTTTATCACAGCCGTGCAGGTCGCCCCTTCACCTCCATTACACACGCTGGCGGAACAGGAACACCCCGTGGACAAGAAAATCTGCACCCTCTTCAGGAGGTGCGCAATTCAACACGCAACGGAGGGGAAGGCTTCCCCAGCAAATTTTTCCTGGTCAAGAAGAAGCCAGGAGACTACATCAATGTAACTCCTACACGGTATACAAATGCTGCAAGATGGAGGAAATTCGTCTTCTACAAGACCTCCTAGGCGATAACGACTGGTTTACACATCTGGACCTCAAGGACGCACGCTTGTCGGTACCCGTTGCCCTGGACTGCCG